ACTCCCGGAAACAATGGAACAGGGGGTGGTGGGCAGCAGACGATGTCATTCGGAGTGAGCAGCATACGATCCCCGATTTGAACACCATTATTTAGAATTGATCGGTGAGTTAAGCAGGCAGCTTTGGGCATCGAAGTGGTACCCGATGTAAATTGAATGTTCACGACGTCATGTGGTGAAAGCCCTTGTGGTGCGATGGGAAGCATATCCTGTATGAGATCTGACGATAGAGAAGCAAACGGTGTGGTGCATTTAAAAGATGTGGTGTCGACACGGCCATCGTCATTGTTAACGAGAATTATTTTCTTTAGAGAAGGGACGGCTTGAGACTCGAGTTTTGGGCTGAGGAGGTTGGGAACTATTTGCTGGAGAAGAGAGAGGGTAGGACGCGGCTCTCGTCTTGGTAGGTTTACCTCTGTGCTCATAATCAAATGGGAAGCTTCTAGATGGCCAAGCGCAGAAACCACTTGGTTCGCATTGAACGATGGATTCAACGGGACCTAGCAACGTTTCGAATCATGTTAGCGTGATCAGAAAACGAGGGAAAAGAGGGAAAAGGAGAAAAGAAGACAGATGATGTCTTGTCTGGATAGGATTCTTCCTACCAGCACGGCTCCCAGCTTGAACAATGCATATGTAACCTGTCCGTTAAACCCGTGAGCACTTATGGACGTGTTCCATATACCAAGAGCTTCGATAACTATATCATACAATTGCAAATTCAATACTATTTCCCAACGAAACAGCCACTCGATCGCCTTTCAGAAGCCCGCCTGCAAGTAACCCACGAGCCAGCGCATTACTCTTACGGTCTAATTCATCATATGTTAACCGCTGCGCCTGATGGGTCGATATGACACTAAAATAGATTCAATCAGCATATTATGATGCGCGCGGGGATTGTAAGGACACAAACGCGGTCTTGTCACCGTATTTGGACACAATGTTTGCGAAATGATCTCCGATGGTTTGTTCAAACAATGGGGGCTAATAATGTATAGAAAGGCAAGCCGATAAAGAGCCAGTTGCGATGTTAGCTCAACTGTAGAAAGAAAAAAAAAAAGGGGGAGGGGGGGAGCGCACTGGGTGTAGAGCAATGGAGCCGAACGCTCTTGTAGCTGAATAGCCATACTAACCTCTGAAGGCCCCCTAGCATGGCTCTTTGTCAGGAGAGATCGCCTTTGCACTTGATGCACCCGAAGACTGGAGCCTCCAATTCCTCGCCATGATATTCTCGGCCTTGCCTTGCAAGGAAGCCGCCAAACCAGAGACCCGCGCATCTTTTTGTAGATATGAAGTGGAAGTCTATGTCCGTATTTTTATACATGAATGTCATATAATATTACACCCCAACGTGAGTGTTTGAGTAGGTGTTTCTCCAGCTTTAGTAAAAATGCGGGGGAAAGGCACCGCGCTGAGGTTTGTAACTCCGTCAGCAGGAGTAAGTAACAGGAGACTGCGGGCCGATCTCTGGGAGGGATGACATTCCAGGGGCGTAAAAAGAATGGGAATTTTAATAATTCGAATGGGAGTGTGTGGTGAGCAGCAATCGCCTGTCGTGAAGGGTATGATTCGTCACCGCTGGCGGTTGGCGGTTGGCGGCTAGGCTTGTAAGCTCATGTATGAAGGCATGTTGTTATCGTTGTGTCGCTGGTTTTCATACCTCGGTTGGTAAGCTTGTTTTCCTGTGGCCAGTCGCTTTGGTCTATCCCCACAGTCCCGCGAGCAGCTTTGGTTATTATTCTTCGGGGGCGTTGGGTAACTTTATTGGGGGAGGGAGAAGCACAGACGCATTGGGGACAAGGTTTGGTGGTTTGTTAATCGCCGCCAGGGCAAGTAATTAACTTAATACTTTTCTCCGCATGTTAGTGTTCATCCGACGTTATATATGAGACTGCCTGTGCTGCGCCGTGCTGCCAATAAGTAAAAATAAAACTACATAGAATGATATCAATCGAGTTAGGTGAATGCCCGAAGATATACCAACACCCTTCATCCCGAGCCCTTCGCCCCCGCCAGGAATTAGAATAATATTGACTGGTGACTAGCCGAGAAACCTCCATCCATCCACTTATCTGGACAACTTTTCCTCCTCAGGGACACAATCAACAGGAAGATCCAATTAATAAAGCCGAAGTATCTGGGAAACCCACAGGTACGCTCTCTACTAATAAATCCATATATAATATCTCGGTCATACCTTCTCCCAGCGCCGTTTCCACTCAGTCCACGTTCCATATATATCCTCACTTTTCTGGTCTGAGGTTCCCAATTTCGATAGGGGTTTGTCGCGTGGGTATGGCCTGGTAACCCGGTTGCGGGTACGTTTCTGAGGTATCCGCTTAATCCTTGGTCCTTTGCAAGACTGGTGACTGTCAAAGGGCACTGGTTTTTGGTTTGCCTCCCTCAGTACTGTTTTGCCGGAATCCAA